ATAAATTCCCAGATAACTGTTTTTCTTTTTTTATGAAAAATCACCGGAGCTTTGGTGGTGGATGCATCGAATAAATCTGGCTGATGTAAACGTTGGCAATTTTTTCGCAAAATGTACCAAAACTTTGCCTTTTGTTACATATCTTTATCTCTTGACATGAGCCAATTTTAATATCAACAGGCAAATACATATATTAAGTTGTCGTATATGGAATGTCGTATTTTGACGAATGACACTTTCATTTAATTCATTAAAATAATATCCGTTTTGTTCTACGGTCTTTTCTTCGTCTATTGCCTTCATACACTGTTCAAATGCTTCGACTACTTCTTCAGTATAAGTAACTCTTCTGTTGTGTATGAAAATAGTAATATTAGCCGCTTCCTCAAAAGGAAACTTTCAGAATTCAATAATTGCGCAGCCCAGGGCCGGTGCAAGGATCTTGTTCCCACTTCCTAATCTATGATACACGCCCGGTATCTATGATACGGGACCCCTAACTTTACAACATTTCAATTTTCATAAGGCCGTATACATATAAAATACAAATTTTATTATAACCCAAGTATGTACTATAATGGATCATATGCAATATAGCTGAATAATTCAACTAAAAAAATTGAAAATAAATACAATATACAGAGTGACCCAAAAAAACGGGAATTTATTAATAATCCAATAAAACCAAGAGTGATGGAAGAAAAATATTTTATTCATAGTAATTAAAACCTTAAAACATGCCATTTAAGAAACAATGATGGAATTTTCATTTTTTTTTTAAATTACATCCTGTAGATGGCACTCTCCTGTACGAATGCATTCTTGAAATCTGCTGTTGAGATTCCTCATTGACTGCTACAGCATCCCAGCTGGGATACTGTGAATTTCATCTTGAATTCTAAATGGCGAAATGTTTACTTGCTCAAGGTCACTGTCTTGCAGTGTTGCCACTTGCTCATGTCTGGCAATACGCACTTCAAAAATTCCCGTTTTTGGGGGTCACCCTATATAAATACAATATTTGCGGCAATTTTTAACATCAACTCGAGATTTTTATGGTTAAAAAGTTGAAGAATTTTAACACATTCAACATTATGGATAAAAAAAAATTGCGAATTTTGTACAGTGTTCTTTTCTGAGATTTAGCATGAGCAAATAAATTTGCGGATTTGGACGAAAAAAAGACCCCAGAAAGACGTTAATATCCGCGAATTTTTTTCATCCTTTAATAGTCAATTGAGCTTAGTTTAACTTGTAACTTATATAAATCTAGGTAGAAAAACAATTTTTGATAAGATGACGAGAGAAACAAAGCACTACGAGGCGTCCTTAAGGAGTGAATTGGCTTAAAAAAGTATTAATGGTCAAGACGGATTAGCCTCGCTAACCCTTACCCGACGCCGAGTTTAATGTCAACCTATGTTGGGCTGTTTAATATCAATTTTTGTATTTGTATGGGGTACCTAGTGAGAATTGAACTTACTGCTCACTAGTATTGTTTATATTTTTTAATTGGTATCACACCAGGAAAGGAAGTAAAGCCACTAAGACACAAGGGGTGTGGAAGAATTAGAAACATAAAGATTAATAATGAGCGGGAAGAGGAAAGAGTAATCAGGACAGTAAATAGCGATTTAAATTTTCATTTAAATTTTTTGCTGAATATTGACTAAATTATTATGATTTTCAATTCATTTTGGTCTATTTAATATCGAATTCTTTTTGTGGCACCTAGTTATTCCGCAGCTTAAAATATATCATTTCACATGTTTTGTTATGTCAAATACATAAAATTGAAATGATTTAACATACGTAATGAAGATATTTTTACGATAAAACTCGGTCCAAGTCCTGTCAATATTTTTTGGTTTATTTAATGCTGAATTGTGTATGAGATCCAGTGAGGAACGCACTTAATCGTAACGATCAGCCTGACTAACCTCGCTAAATAGTACCTTATACCTCAAAATATACAAATACACATCGTTTAATACATAAAATTATATTTCTGAAATCAAAATCGTTTTAAGTACGTAATGAAGTTGGTTCCGATGCCATCAGTTCCCAACTAGTAATTTATGGAGATAACCCTATTTACTACTATCTACTATAAACTAACCTGGCCGTGCGTCTCGAAAAGGACCTCCAATCAGTTGTGAACTGGGGCAGGAATTGGCTGGTCAACTTTAATGCCTCAAAAACAAAACTGCTCTCTATTAATCACCACAGAGATCCTTCCCTTCCCTCCATTAGAATGTCTGACGCTGACCTGAGATGGACCTTGAGTCAATTGCTTCGTCCACCGCAAGGAAAGTTGGCTCCCTGTGCCGCGCCAGGAAACTTTTCTCCCCGGAATCGATCCTCCAGATCTACAAATCAACAATTCGCCCTTGCATGGAGTATTGCTGCCATATATGGTCTGGAGCCCCTTCTGTTTGCCTCGGAGTTTTTGATAAGATCCAGAGGCGGATATGCAATATAATTGGCCTTGTTCTGGCATCTCGTCTACAGTCGCTCTCTCACAGACGCGCCGTCGCCTCTCTCTGTCTTTTTTACAAATACTTTCATGGTAATTGCTCCGAGGAGCTGCATTCGCTGGTTCCCAGACTTCATGAGTTCAAGCGCCCTACGAGGCTGGCATCTCGCTCTCACCCTTTCACTGTCGAAACTACTAAATGTAGCCGTCTCTTTTACACCAATAGCTTCATGTCTCGCACCTCTCGCCTGTGGAACTCCCTTCCCTATTCCAGTTTCTCTGAGAGCTATAATCTCCAACTATTCAAATATAATGTCAATCGACATCTCCAGTTGCCTTGATCTATCCACTATCCTTTTCCTCATCCTTTCCTCTATCACTCCTATCAAATCTTGCTCCAAATCCTCTGTAACCTCTTGCGTCCTAATGGCTTCCCGCCTTGCTTGGGGTGAAACGCTTTAAAAAAAATGAATGGCTTGTAAACTTTAACGCTTCCAAAACAAATTTGCTTTTATTTAATCATCATAGAGAACCTTTTCTGCTTGCTATCAGCCAGTCTGAAGCTGCATGCAAGGAGAGCATCTCTTTGCACCTTCATGTTTGACAAGAAGCGGAGGGATTATATTGAATCAATTGCTTGGTCTACTGGTAAGAAAGTTGGTTCTCTGTGTCATGCCAGACAGTTTTCCCGTCAGAATCCATCTTGCATATTTATAAATACACCATTCGTCCATGCATTGAATATTGCTGCCATCTGATGCTCCTACTCTCGAGATTCTTGACAAAATTCAAAAAAGGGTCTTTAATCGATCCTCACCTGACAACTCGACTTCAGTCATTTTCTCACCAACATGGCGTCGCTTCCTTCAGTCTTTTCTACAAATATTTTCACGTTAACTGCTCCGACGAGCTACTTTCGCTGGTTTCCAGACTGCATGAATTTAAGCATGCTACTAGACTGGCATCTCGGTCCCACCCTTTCACTGTTGAAACAGTTAAATGTAGCCGTCTCTTCTACTCCAATAGCTTCCAACATGAAAAACTTTAAGCCATATAATATATTACAATTTCTTAAATAAATCAAACTGTACTTCAAAATATAACTTCAACAAAACTGCAACATAAAACACACATATTACTGTAATCATGTCTATATAAACATGTTTATGCACAGAAGCTGAGAATTATCTACCATGTATTCAAATGTGAAAGCAGAAAGACATATATGATCTTTTTATTACTTCAAAGCTTCCAAGAAAATTAAATGTCGGCATTAAATAACCCATAAGGAGTTCATTAGCCGTTTAACAAACAAATCAATTAACTATTCATGCGTATATTAAATTCTGCTACCATATCTATTTTGTTGCTGCTGCTGCTGCTGTATATTTAGAGATTCTTGACAAAATTCAAAGAAAGGTCTTTAATCGATCCTGACATGACAGCTCGACTTCAGTCATTTTCTCGCCGACATGGCGTCGTTTCCCTCCGTCTTTTCTACAAATATATTTCATAAAGATTCTTCTGACGAAGTTCCCTTCTTGGCAGCTCGACTGCATGAATTTTTAAAAACATTTCACCCCAAAACAAGGCGATAATGTCACTAGGACGCAAGGGGTTACTGTTAGTGAAAGAGAATGAGAAGATTTTAGAGAAGAGAAGTGAGGAGAAAGGACAATAAAAGAACAAAATTCAGGATGTCTATTAGCGTTTCACTTTCATTTTTGAAGATTGTAGTGGCATGGAAGCAAAGAATCGGAAGGGAATCCCACAGTAACGAGAAAAGAAACTACTAGAATAGAAATGGCGGTTGCATCAATCTAGTTCAATAGTTATAAGGTGAGACCTAGTTGGTGCATAATTATCAGGCGTTTTTTGGTAGGCGAGTTATTTGATAATAAAAATTGCTGTTTTCTTTTAATAAAAATATTATTTTATTTTCAGGTTATAAAAATGCGTGTCGATAATCATACGATCCGGAATAATCATTTAAGAATGCTATCGTTGAATTGCTATATTTCTTTTTTTCATAATAAATATTGTTTAAAAACGGCTGATATTTATACAGCAGCCCAATAGTAGCACTCCATTCAGATTTCTTGCTTCCATGTCAACTACAATCTTCAAATATTTAAATGCAACACCAGGAGCTGAATCTCGTACTTTCATTGTTCTTTCTCTTCATTAAAGTCTTCTGCTCTTTGACGCTCAGTAACCCCTTACGTCTTAGGGGCATTATCACCTTGCTAGGGGTGAAATGAATTTTAAAAAAATACTTTTTACGATAAAAACCGACACGCGTGTTGGCAACGTTAAAACGTGTGCTCAGCAGAGGTTAGTCGAAGAATCCGACTTTCGATAACATCATGATTGTGCAAATTTAAATTCTGCTTTGTTTGCTCTTGGTTATTGATATTCTCGATTCTTCTTTTAGGTACTTAATAAAGACCATCTTATTGCACTAAATGTGTTTTTACGCACATTTTTATCTGGAGAAGGAGACGATATCAGCTTATAGGCGAAAATGAAGTGCTGGAAAGAAGACATGACGGTTTCAGATTACCAGAACTTACGACATCTGGTTGGGCAAAAAGAAACAACTTAAAAATTAAAACAGGACGACCTCGATATCTATTGCAAATAATTTTTATGTCAGGACTTTCACATTGGTAAAATAAAGACAAGATTCTTTCAGTTACTTGATACCTTGTCTGGATTGTATGGCTTGGGAGCATTATGTAATTACCAGGTCCAAACAAAACGAAGGAGGGATAATATGTGACCCGTTGAAGATTACGCAAACGTTGTGCCTAATGGGACTCTATGCGCACACATGTGTTACATTATAAATGTGTTGTTGGTCTGTGTTTTAATGTAGTTTTCCTTCCCTTGCATCTTTTTTCTAGTTTTAAATATCTTTTTTTTACTGTTTTTTTCTGGTATCTATGATTGATTATCTTTTTCTTACTGGATCTCTTTATCTTTTTATCATTTTACTCATGTCTGTAAATCTCATCTTCACGTTTTTTTTCCTTTTCTTTTAATTTTCCTTCTATCTTTCCTTCTTTCTTTCTTTTCATTTTCTTTCTTTCTGTATTTCTTTGTGTCCATTTCCTTTCAAGGTGTTTCTTTCGTCTTTCTCTTTGTTCTTTCTTTCCTTCTTTCTTTCTTTTCATTTTCCTTCTTTCTGTATTTCTTTGTGTCCATTTCATTCCACGGTGTCTCTTTCGTTTTTCTCTTTGTTCTTTCTTTCTTTCTTTCTTTCTTTTCATTTTCCTTCTTTCTGTATTTCTTTGTGTCCATTTCATTCTGCTTTCTCTTTTCGTTTTCTCTCTTTCTTTTTTCTTTTCATTTTCCTTCTTTTTATTTCTTTCATTTTCATTTCATGTTTCTTTTGTTTTCTTTCTTTCTTTTTTCATTTTCTTTTCTTTTCTGTTTTTCTTTTGTATTTCTTTTTCATTTCTACGGCGTCTCTTTCGTTTTTCTCTTTCTTCTTTCTTTCTTTTCATTTTCCTTCTTTCTGTATTTTTTTGTGTCGATTTCATTCGAAGATGTTTCTTTCATTTTTCTCTTTGTTCTTTCTTTCTTTCATTCTTTCTTTTCATTTTCCTTCTTTCTGTATTTCTTTGTGTCCATTTCATTCCACGGGGTCTCTTTCGTTTTTCTCTTTGTTCTTTCTTTCATTCCTTCTTTCTTTCTTTTCATTTTCCTTCTTTCTGTATTTCTTTGTGTCCATTTCATTCCACGGCGTCTCTTTCGTTTTTCTCTTTCTTCTTTCTTTCTTTTCATTTTCCTTCTTTCTGTATTTCTTTGTGTCCATTTCATTCCAAGGTGTTTCTTTCGTTTTTCTCTTTCTTCTTTCTTTCTTTCATTCTTTCTTTTCATTTTCCTTCTTTCTGTATTTCTTTTCATTTTTCATTTCCACGGGGTCTCTTTTTTTTTCTCTCTTTCATTCTTTCTTTCTTTCTTTTCATTTTCCTTCTTTCTGTATTTCTTTGTGTCGATTTCATTCGAAGATGTTTCTTTCATTTTTCTCTTTGTTCTTTCTTTCTTTCATTCTTTCTTTTCATTTTCCTTCTTTCTGTATTTCTTTGTGTCCATTTCATTCCACGGGGTCTCTTTCGTTTTTTTCTTTGTTCTTTCTTTCATTCCTTCTTTCTTTCTTTTCATTTTCCTTCTTTCTGTATTTCTTTGTGTCCATTTCATTCCACGGCGTCTCTTTCGTTTTTCTCTTTCTTCTTTCTTTCTTTTCATTTTCCTTCTTTCTGTATTTCTTTGTGTCGATTTCATTCGAAGATGTTTCTTTCATTTTTCTCTTTGTTCTTTCTTTCATTCCTTCTTTCTTTCTTTTCATTTTCCTTCTTTCTGTATTTCTTTGTGTCCATTTCATTTCTTTTCATTTTCGTTTCTCTTTGTTTTTTTTTTTTTCTTCTTTCTTTCTTTTCATTTTCCTTCTTTCTGTATTTCTTTGTGTCCATTTCATTTCTGTTTTTTTTCATTTTTTCTCTTTGTTCTTTCTTTCTTTCATTTTTCTTTTCTTTTCATTTTCCTTCTTTCTGTATTTCTTTGTGTCCATTTCATTCCACGGGGTCTCTTTCGTTTTCTCTTTGTTCTTTCTTTCATTCCTTCTTTCTTTCTTTTCATTTTCCTTCTTTCTGTATTTCTTTGTGTCGATTTCATTCGAAGATGTTTCTTTCATTTTTCTCTTTGTTCTTTCTTTTTCTTTTTTCATTTTTTCTTTTTCATTTTCCTTTTTTCTGTATTTCGTTTTTTTGTCCCTTTTTCATTTCCTTCTCTCATCTTTTTTCTCTTTCATTTTTTCTCTTTTTCTTTCTTTCTTTCTTTTCATTTTCCTTCTTTCTGTATTTCTTTGTGTCCATTTCATTCCACGGCGTCTCTTTCGTTTTTCTCTTTCTTCTTTCTTTCTTTTCATTTTCCTTCTTTCTGTATTTCTTTGTGTCCATTTCATTCCACGGCGTCTCTTTCGTTTTTCTCTTTCTTCTTTCTTTCTTTTCATTTTCCTTCTTTCTGTATTTTTTTTGTCATTTTTCAAGTTCTTTCATTTTTTCTCTTTTCTTCTTTCTTTTTTTTTTTTTTTTCTTTCTTTTCATTTTTCCTTCTTTCTGTATTTCTTTTGTCCATTTCATTCCAAGTTAAGGGGTCTCTTTCGTTTTTCTCTTTTTTTTTCTTTCTTTCTTCTTTCTTTTTCTTTATTTTTTCCTTCTTTCTGTATTTCTTTTTTCATTTTTCCATTTCGTTCTTTATTTTTCTCTTTGTTCTTTCTTTCATTCCTTCTTTCTTTCTTTTCATTTTCCTTCTTTCTGTATTTCTTTCTTTTTCATTTTTCATTCACAATGTTTCTTTCATTTTTCTCTTTTCTTCTCTTTCATTTTTCTTTCTTTCTTTTCATTTTCTTTTTTTCTGTATTTCTTTCTTTCCATTTTTCTTTTGTTTCAATTTCATTAATTTTTTGTTTTCTTTCTTTTTTTTTCATTTTTTCTTTTTTTTTTTTCCTTCTTTCTGTATTTTTTTGTTCATTTCATTTTGAAGATGTTTTCTTTTTTTTTCTCTCCCATTTCTTTCTTTCATTTTCCTTCTTTCTTTCTTTTCATTTTTCCTTCTTTCTGTATTTCTTTTTCATTTTTTCCGAAGATGTTTCTTTCATTTTTTCTTTTTTCTTTCTTTTCTTTTCTTTCTTTCTTTTCATTTTTCCTTCTTTCTGTATTTCTTTTCAATTTCATTCCACTGGGTCTCTTTTATTTTTTTTCTTTTTTCTTTCTTTCATTTTTTTCTTTCTTTTTTTCATTTTCCTTCTTTCTGTATTTCTTTGTTTCCATTTCATTTGGAACATGTTTCTTTCATTTTTTTCTTTCTTCTTTCTTTCTTTCCTTTTTTTCATTTTTCATTTCCTTCTTTCTGTATTTCTTTGTGTCATTTTCATTTCACAGGGTCTTTTTCATTTTTCTCTTTGTTTCTTTCTTTCATTTCCTTCTTTCTTTCTTTTCATTTTCCTTCTTTCTGTATTTATTTTGTGTCTGATTTCTTTTCATTTTTCTTTCATTTTTTCTTTTGTTCTTTTCTTTCATTTCCTTTTTCTTTCTTTTCATTTTCCTTCTTTCTGTATTTCTTTTGTGTCTATTTCATTTCTTTTCATTTTTCTTTTTTTTTCATTTTTTCTTTTTGTTCTTTCTTTCTTTCTTTTCATTTTCCTTCTTTCTGTATTTCTTTGTGTCCATTTCATTTCTATGTTTTCTTTTTCATTTTTTCTCTTTGTTCTTTCTTTCATTTATTTCTTTCTTTCTTTTCATTTTCATTTTTCTGTATTTCTTTGTGTCCATTTCATTCATTGCTCGTCTCTTTCGTTTTCATTTTCTTCTTTCTTTCATTTTTTCCTTCTTTTTTCTTTTATTTTCTTTCTTTTCATTTCCTTGTGGATGTTTCATTTCATTTTGTTTCTATTTTTTTCTTTTTTCTTTTTTCTTCCTTCTTTTTTCTTTTCATTTTCCTTCTTTCTGTATTTCTTTGTGTTCATTTTTCCTTTGGACGGGTTAATTTTTTTCATTTTTCTCTTTTTCTTTTCTTTTTTTCCTTCTTTCTTTCTTTTATTTTTCCTTCTTTCTGTATTTCTTTGTGTCCATTTCATTTGGACAATTTCTTTTTTTTTCTCTTTGTTCTTTCTTTCTTTTTCTTCTTTCTTTTTTTTTTTTTCATTTTTTCTTTCTTTTCATTTTTTTTTTTTTTCTTTATTTTCATTTCCTTCTTTCGTTTCTTTTTTTTTTTTCTTTTTCTTTCTTTTCTCTTTTTCCTTTCTTTCTTCTTTCTTTTTCATTTTCCTTCTTTTGTGGAGATGTCCATTTCTTTCATTTTCTCTTTATTTTCTTTTTTTTTCATTTTTCCATTCTTTCTTTCTTTTTTTCCTTCTTTCTTTGTATTTTCTTTGTGTCAATTTCATTATTTTGTCTCTTTCATTTTTCTTTTTTTTCTTTCTTTCATTTTCTTTCTTTTTTTTCATTTTCCTTTCTTTTCATATTTCTTTGTGTCCATTTCATTCCAAGCTCTATCTCTTTTTTTTTTTCTTTTATTTTCTTTCATTTCCTTTTTCTTTCTTTTCATTTTCCTTCTTTCTTTCTTTTCTTTTTTTTCCATTTTGGACAAGTTAATTTTTTTTCATTTTTCTCTTTTTCTTTTTTTTTCAGTTCTTTTTCTTTCTTTTCATTTTCCTTCTTTCTGTATTTCTTTTTCTTTTTTTTGTCTTTCTTTTTTTCTCTTTCTTCTTTCTTTCTTTTCATTTTCCTTCTTTCTGTATTTCTTTTTGTCCATTTCATTCCACGGCGTCTCTTTCGTTTTTCTCTTTCTTCTTTTCTTTCTTTTCATTTTTCCTTCTTTCTGTATTTCTTTTTTCCATTTCATTTGTGGCGTCTCTTTATTTTCTCTTTCTTCTTTCTTTCTTTTCATTTTCCTTCTTTCTGTATTTTTTTGTGTCCATTTCATTCCACGGCGTCTCTTTCGTTTTTCTTTTTCTTCTTTCTTTCTTTTCATTTTCCTTCTTTCTGTATTTCTTTGTGTCCATTTCATTTATCTGCTTTCTCTTTCATTTTTCTCTTTCTTTCTTTCTTTCTTTTTTTTTCCTTTCTTTTCTGTATTTCTTTGTGGTCCATTTCATTATTTTGTGCTCTATCTTTTTTTTTTCTTTCTTTCCTTCTTTCTTTCTTTCTTTTCATTTTCCTTCTTTCTGTATTTCTTTTTCATTTTTTCTTTGTCTTTCATTTTTCTCTTTAATTTTTTTTTCTTTCTTTCTTTCTTTCTTTTCATTTCCTTCTTTCTGTATTTCTTTGTGTCCATTTCATTATTTTGTGCTCTATTTCATTTTTCTTTTTCTTTTTTCTTTTCATTTCTTTCTTTTAATTTTTTTCTTTCTGTATTTCTTTTTTTCCATTTCATTTGTGGACAAGTTAATTTTTTTTTTTCTCTATCTTCTTTCTTTTCATTTTTTCTTTCTTTTCATTTTCTGTATTTCTTTCTTTTCATTTCCTTTGGACAGCGTCTCTTTCATTTTTCTCTTTCTTTTTCTTTTTTTTTCCTTCTTTCTTTCTTTTCATTTCCTTCTTTCTGTATTTCTTTGTTTCCATTTCATTCCACTGGTCTCTGTTCTTTATTTTCTCTTTCTATCTTTTCTTTCTTTTCATTTTTCCTTCTTTCTGTATTTTTTGTGTCCATTTCATTTTTTTTTCATGTTTCTTTTCATTTTTATTTTGTTCTTTCTTTCTTTTCATTTCTTTTCATTTTCCTTCTTTTTGTATTTCTTTGCTTTCTTTTCATTTTCCTTTCTGGACAAGTTAATTTTTTTTTCTATCTGCTTTCATTTTTCATTTTCCTTTTTCTTTCTTTTAATTTTTTCTTTCTGTATTTCTTTCTTTTTCATTTTTCCCTTGTGGACAAGTTTTTTATTTTGTTCTCTTTCTTCTTTTCTTTTCATTTTCCTTCTTTCTGTATTTCTTTTAATTTCATTTTTGTGCTCTATCTTCTTTTTTTTTTTTCATTTTTTCTTTGGACAAGTTTTATTTTGTTTCTGTATTTCTTTGTTTCGATTTCATTGGACAAGTTCTTTATTTTTCTCTTTTTTCTTTCATTTTCCTTCTTTTTTTTCTTTTCATTTTTTTCCAAGTTTTATTTTTTTCTATCTGCTTTCTTTTCATTTTCATTTTTAATTCTTTTTTTTCTGCTTTGTTTTTCATTTTTCCCTTCTTTCTTTTTTTTATTTTTCCTTCTATCTGTATTTTTTTTTCATTTTTCCTTTGGACATGTTTCTTTCATTTTATTTTGTTCTTTCTTTATTTCCTTTTTTTTTCATTTTCATTTTTCCTGGACTTTCTTAATTTCTTTTTGTCCATTTCATATCTGCTTTCTTTCATTTTTCTCTTTGGTTCTTTCTTTCATTTCTCTTCTTTCTTTCTTTTCATTTTCCTTCTTTCTGGATTTCTTTGTGTCCATTTCATTCTCTATCTCTTTCTTTCGTTTTTCTCTTTGGACTTTTCTTTTATTTCCTTCTTTCTTTCTTTTCATTTTCCTTCTTTCTGGATTTCTTAATTATTTTTTCATTTCTATCTGCTTTCTTTCATTTTTTCTGGACAATTTCTTTTTTTTTTTTCTATCTTTCTTTCTTTTTCATTTTCTTTCTTTTTGTTTTTTCTTTGCTTTCTTTTCATTTTCCCTTGTGGACTTTTATTTTTCTCTCTATCTTCTTTTTTTTTCATTTTCCTTTCTTCTTTCTTTCTTTTCTTTTTTTATGCTCTTTATTTCTTTTTTCTTTTTTCATTCCCTTTTGGACTCTTTTATTTTTTTCTCTTTCTTCTTTCTTTTCATTTTTTCCTTTCTTCTTTTTATTTTCATTCTATCTTCTTTCTTTTTTGTTTTTTCTTTGTGGACAATTTCATTCCACAGCGTCTCTTTCGTTTTTTCTTTTCATTTTCCCTTCTTTCTTTTAATTTTCCTTCTTTCTGCTTTTCTTTTTCATTTTTCCTTTGGACAAGTCTCTTATTTTTTTCTCTATCTGCTTTCTTTTCTTTTTCCCTTCTTTCTTTTTTTATTTATTTTTTCTTCTCTCTATTTCTTTTTCATTTTAATTATTTTGTCTCTTCTGCTTTCTTTTCATTTTCCTTTTCTTCTTTCTTTCTTTTATTTTCCTTCTTTCTTTCTTTTCTTTTTTCCTTCATTTCATTTTAATTATTTTCATTTTTCTCATTCTTCTTTGTTTTTTCATTTTTCCTTCTTTCAAGTTTTTATTTTTTCCTTTTCATTTTCTGTATTTCTTTTCATTTTCATGGACAAGTTAATTATTTTGTGCTTTTTCTCTTTCTTTTTCTTTTTTTCCTTTTTTCTTTCTTTCTTATTTTTGTGTCTATCTTCATTTCTTTTTTTTCATTTTCATTTGTCTCAAGTTAATTTTTTTCTCTATCTCTTTCTTTTCATTTTCCTTTTTCTTTCATTTTAATTATTTTGTGCTCTATTTCTTTCTTTTCATTTTTCATTTGGACTTCTTTCTTTCTTTTTTTTCTCTTATCTTCTTTCTTTTCATTTTTTCTTTTTCCTTCTTTCTTATTTTTTTCTATCTTCTTTCTTTTCATTTTCCTTCTTTCTGTTTTTTATTTTGTTTTCTATCTTTTCTTTTCATTTTTCCTTTTGGACTTTTCTTTTTTTCCTTTTCTCTATCTGCTTTCTTTTTCATTTTTCATTGTGGACAAGTTCTTTATTTTTTCTCTATCTTCTTTCTTTTCTTTTCATTTTCCTTCTGGACAAGTTAATTTTTTTGTGCTCTATCTGCTTTCTTTTCATTTTCCCTTGTGGACAAGTTTTTATTTTCTTCTCTTCTGCTTTCTTTTCATTTTCCTTCTGGACTGTATTTTTTTTGTACTCCATTTCATTTCATTTTCTCTTTCGTTTTTAATTATTTTGTTCTCTTTCTTTCTTTTCATTTTTCCTTCTTTTTTAATTTTCCTTCATTCTATCTGCTTTCTTTTCATTTTCCCTTGTTTCTTAATTATTTTTTTCATTATCTTCTTTTTTTCATTTTTCCTTGTGGACAATTTAATTTTTTGTGCTCTATCTTTTTCTTTTGTTTTTTTCCTTTGGACAAGTTTTTATTTTGTGCTTCTATCTTCTTTTTTTTCATTTTTTCCTTGTGGCAAGTTTTATTTTTTCTCTATCTTCTTTTTTTTCATTTTTTCTTTTGTGGACAAGTTAATTCCATTTCATTCCCACTCTCTTTATTTTTTTTTCTTTCTTTCTTCTTTCTTTCTTTTCATTTTCCCTTCTTTCTGTTATTTCTTTTTGTCCATTTCATTCTATCTGCTTTCTTTTCATTTTTTCTTTTGGACTTCTTTCTTTCTTTTTTTTCCTTATCTTCTTTCTTTTTCTTTTTTCCATTTCATTTGGACAAGTTAATTATTTTGTGCTCTTTCTTCTTTCTTTTCATTTTTTCTTTGTGGACATTTTCCTTCTTTTGTATTTCTATCTGCTTTCTTTTCATTTTTCCTTGTGGACTCTTTAATTTTTTTGTGCTCTATCTGCTTTCTTTTTCATTTTTCTTTCTGGACATTTTTAATTATTTTGTATTCTATCTGCTTTCTTTTCATTTCCCTTGTGGACTCTTTAATTATTTTTCTCTATCTGCTTTCTTTTCATTTTTTTTTTTGGACAAGTTTTTATTTTTTTCCTCTTTCTGCTTTTCTTTTCATTTTCCCTTTCATGGACAAGTTAATTATTTTTTGCTCTATCTTCTTTCTTTTCATTTTTCTTTTGTGGACATTTTAATTCTTTTGTGCTCTATCTGCTTTCTTTTCATTTCCCTTGTGGACTTTCTTTAATTTTTCTCTTTGTCTTTCTTTTTTCTTTTCATTTTCCTTGTTTTCTTTTTTTATTTTCCTTTTTCTCTATTTCTTTCTATTTTTTCATTTTCATTGTGCGTCTCTTTAATTTTTTTCTTGCTCTTTTCTTTTTTCTTTTCATTTTCCTTCTTTCTGTATTTCTTTGTTCCATTTCATTTTGTGCGTCTCTTTCTTTTTTTTTTTTCTTTTTTCTTTGGACAAGTTAATTATTTTTCATCTATCTTCTTTCTTTTCATTTTCTTTGTGGACATTTTATTTATTTTGTTTCTCTTTCTTTTTTTTCATTTTTCTTTCTGGACTTTTTAATTATTTTTTGCTCTTCTGCTTTCTTTCTTTTTTCCATTTCATTGGACAAGTTAATTATTTTTTTTCTCTATCTTCATTTTTTTTTTTTCATTTTCCTTCTTTCTGGATTTCTTTTAATTATTTTTGTGCTCTATTCGTTTTTTCTTTTTCTTCCCTTCTTTTTTCCTTTTGGACATTTTCCTTATTTTGTATTTATTTGCTTTCTTTTCATTTTCCTTGTGGACGTCTCTTTCGTTTTTGTGCTCTATTCTTTCTTTTCATTTTCATTTCCTGGACAAGTTAATTATTTTTCTCTATCTGCTTTCTTTTCATTTTCCCTTGTCTCTTTAATTATTTTTCTCTTTCTTCTTTCTTTTCATTTTCCTTGTTTTCTTTTAATTTCTTTTTGTATTTATTTGCTTTCATTTCATTTTCCCTTGTGGACAAGTTAATTATTTTTCTCTCTCTTCTTTCTTTCTTTTCATTTTCCCTTCTTTCTTTCTTTTCTTTATTTTCCATTTCATCTATCTCGATTTTCTTTTTTCTTTTTTTCTTTATTTCTTTCTTTTCTCTTAATTATTTTTTTACTTTTTTCTTTTCTTTCATTTTTTCTTTTGTGGACAAGTTAATTATTTTGTCTCTTTCTTTTTTCATTTTTCATTTTCGTTTTCTTTCTTTCTTTTTTTTATTTTCCTTCTATCTTCTTTCTTTTCATTTTCATTGTGGACGTCTCTTTAATTTTTCTCTTTCTATCTGCTTTCTTTTCATTTTTCCTTTGTGGACAAGTTAATTATTTTCATTTCCTCTATCTCTTTCTTTTTCTTTCTTTTTCTTTCTTGGACAAGTTTTTATTTTTTCTCTATCTGCTTTCTTTTCATTTTCCCTTGTGGACGTCTAATTATTTTTTCTCTCTTTCTTCTTTTCTTTTCATTTTCCTTTGTGGACATTTTAATTATTTTCTTTCATTTTATCTGCTTTCTTTCATTTTTTTCTTTTTTCTTTTTTTGGACTTTCTGTATTTTTTTTTGTCCATTTATTCTGGTCTCTTTCGTTTTTTCCTTGTTCTTTCTTTTTATTTTTCCTTCTTTCTGCTTTTCTTTTCATTTTCCATTTGGACAAGTTAATTCTTTTTTTTTCTCTATCTGCTTTTTTTTTCATTTCCCTTTTCTTTCTTTATTTTATTTTCATTTCATTCTATCGTCTCTTTCTTTTCATTTTCCTTTTTCTTTCTTTTAATTTTTTTTCTTTCTCTATCTTCTTTCTTTTCATTTTCCTTGTGGACAAGTTAATTATTTTCTCTCTATCTTTCTTTCTTTTCATTTTTCCTTTGGACAAGTTAATTATTTTGTCCATTCTATCTGCTTTCTTTTCATTTTTTTTTGTTTTTTAATTATTTCTCTTCTTTTCTTTCTTTTCATTTTTCCTTCTTGGACAAGTTATTTATTTTGTATTTCTCTTTCTGCTTTCTTTTCATTTTTCTTTTCTTTTTCTTAATTATTTTTTCCTTTCTATCTGCTTTTCTTTTTTCATTTTTCCTTTTTTATTTCTTTCTTTATTTTTTGTTCTTTTTCTTTCTTGCTTTCATTTTCCCTTTTTTATTTATTTTTGTGGACTTTCTTTTATTTATTTTTTCTCTATCTTTCTTTCTTTCTTTTCATTTTTCCTTCTTGGACTGTATTAATTATTTTGTCCATTTCATTCTGCTTTCTTTCGTTTTTTTCCTTGTTCTTTCTTTTAATTTTTTTCTTTCTCTATCTGCTTTTCTTTTCATTTTCCTTGTGCGTCTCTTTAATTTTTTCTTTCTTCTTTCTTTCTTTTCATTTTCCTTGGACTTAATTATTTTGTGCTCTATTTCTTTCTTTTCATTTTTCCCTTTTGGACAAGTTTTTTCTTTTCTTCTTTCTTTCTTTTCATTTTCCTGTGCTCTATCTTTCTTTCTTTTCTTTTTTTCCTTCATTTGGACAAGTCTAATTCGTTTTTCTCTCTATCTTCTTTCTTTTCATTTTCCCTTTTTCTTTTTCATTTAATTATTTTTGTCTCTATCTGCTTTCTTTTCATTTTCCTTGTGGACAAGTTAATTTTTTTGTGCTCTATCTTTCTTTCTTTTTTTTTCCTTCTTTGTGGATTTCTTTAATTATTCATTTCATTCTATCTGCTTTCTTTTTTTTTCCCTTTGGACCTTCTTTAATTATTTTTTTTCTATCTTTTTCTTTTTCATTTTCCTTGTGGACATTTTAATTATTTTGTGTCTATTTGTTTTTTTTCTTTTTCCTTTCTGGACAAGTTAATTATTTTGTGCTCTTTCTGCTTTCTTTTCATTTTCCTTTTGGACAATTTAATTATTTTGTGCTCTATCGTTTTTCTTTTTCTTTTCTTTTTTTCCTTTTCATTGGACTTTCTTTTTATTTTTTTTTGTGCTCTATCTGCTTTCTTTTCATTTTCCCTTTGGACAAGTTAATTATTTTGTGCTTTCTATCTTTTTTTTTTTCATTTTTTTTGTTTTCATTTTCCTTCTTTTTGTATTTATCTGCTTTCATTTTTTCATTTTCTTTTTTTTTTTAATTATTTTGTGCTCTTTCTTTTTTCTTCTTTCTTTTCTTTTTTCCTTTGGACTTTTAATTATTTTTCTCTATCTGCTTTTTTTTCATTTTTCTTTTGGACTTTTTTTAATTATTTTTGTCTTTCTTCTTTCTTTCATTTTCCTTTGTTTTCATTTTTAATTATTTTTGCTCTATCTGCTTTCTTTTCATTTTCCCTTGTGGACTCTTTTAATTATTTTCTTGCTCTTTCTTCTTTCTTTTTTTTTTTCTTTTGGACTTCTTTAATTTTTTTTTGCTCTATCATTTCTTTTTCATTTTCCCTTGTGGACAAGTTAATTATTTTTGTGCTCTATCTGCTTTCTTTTCATTTTCCCTTGTTTTTATTTATTTTGTGCTCTATTTCTGTTTTCTTTTCATTTTTTTCCCTTTGGACTTTTTTTTATTTTCCTGCTCTATCTGCTTTCTTTTCATTTTTGTCTCTTTCTTTAATTATTTTGTGCTCTATCTGCTTTCTTTTTTTTTTTTTTTGTTTCTTTCTTTCTTTTTTTTCATTTTCTTTTTCTTTCATTTTCTTTGTGGACATTTAATTCCATTTTTGCTCTTTCGTTTTTCTTTTCATTTTTCCTTTTGGACATTTTAATTATTTTGTTTTCTATTCATTTTCTTTTCATTTTCCCTTTGGACAAGTTTTTATTTTGTGCTCTATCTGCTTTCTTTTCATTTTTCCCTTGTGGACTTTCTTTCATTTTCCTTCTTCTTTTTTTTTTCCATTTTCCTTCTTTTTGTATTTTCTTTCTGCTTTCTTTTCATTTTCCTTGTGGACAAGTTTTATTTTTTAATTTTCTGCTTTCTTTTCATTTTCCCTTGTTCTTTTATTTTTCTCTATCTGCTTTCTTTTCATTTTCCTTGTGGACAAGTTGTATTTTCATTGCTTTTCTTTTCATTTTCGTTTTGGACAAGTTTTTATTTTTTGCTCTATCTTCTTTCTTTTCATTTTCCTTTGGACTTTTAATTATTTTTCTCTATCTGCTTTCTTTTCATTTTCCTTGTTTCGACAATTTTTTTTATTTTGTTTCTTTCTCTTTTTCTTTTTTTTCTTTCTTTGTTTTCATTTTTCCTTCTTTTTATTTCTTTTGCTTTCTTTTCATTTTCCTTGTGGACAAGTTAATTTTTTTCTTTCTATCTTCTTTCTTTTCATTTTTCCTTCTTTCTTTTAATTATTTTGTCCATTTCTTTCTGCTTTCTTTTTCATTTTCCTTGTGGACAAGTTTTCTTTCGTTGCTCTATCTTCTTTCTTTTCATTTTTTCCTTTGGACAAGTTAATTATTTTGTTTTTCTATCTGCTTTCTTTCATTTTTCATTTGTGGACTTTCTTTTAATTATTTTGTGCTCTATCTCTCTTTTCTTTTTCATTTTCTTCTTGGACAATTTTCCTTCTTTTGTATTTCTTTTTTTCTTTTCATTCCCTTCTCTTTCTGTTTTAATTATTTTGTGCTCTATCTTCTTTCTTTTCATTTTCCCATTGGACAAGTTAATTTTTTTTTCTCTCTTTGTTTTCTTTTCATTTTCCCTTGTTTCTTTCTTTTCATTTTCCTTCTCTTTCTGTATTTCTTTTTCATTTTCATTGTGGTCTCTTTAATTTTTCTCTTTGTTTCTTTTTTCATTTTCCTTCTCTTCTTTCTTTTCATTTTCCTTTTTTTCTGTATTTCTTTGTGTCCATTTCATTTGGTGTCTCTTTATTTTTTCTTTTTTCTTTTCTTTCTTTCCTTCTTTCTTTCTTTTAATTTTTCCTTCTTTCTATATGCTTTCTTTTCATTTTTCCCTTGTGTTTCTTTAATTTTTTCTTTTTCTTTCTTTCGTTTTCTTTCTTTTCATTTTTCTTTTTTGTATTTCTTTGTTTTCATTTTTTTTCATTTTTTCTCTTTGTTCTTTCTTTCTTTTTTTTTTCCTTTTCATTTTTCCTTCTTTCTGTATTTTTTGTGTTTTTTCATTTTCCTTGTTCTTTCTTTTTTCTTTTTCTTTCTTTCTTTCTTTTTTTCATTTTCCTTCTTTTCTGTATTTCTTTTTGTGTCCATTTCATTTCCATTTTTTCTTTCAAGTTTTTTCTCTTTATTCTTTCTTTCTTTTTTCTTTTTTTCATTTTCTTTTTTTGTA